TATTATAAAACTCACCTCTGAGCGCCGCAATTTTACAACGGTCTACGAAACAAAGAAAATGAGGCACTGACACCACCGCCCACCTTGTTAACAAAATTTATGGGCCTTAGTTATGCAATAAAACCTTGCTGGATCCACCTTTGCACTTCCTTCTGCAGTATACGGATTCCTATCAACCACTACCATATCCGCATGTAATCTACGGCCTATTTGAAGTACTACACGGCCCACTTCTACTTCGCAAACTTTCATGTCGTCCCAAAAACTCTCGATGTTCACAAATTATAAGCTTTCCTCCCAGATAATGTTGCAGGCAGGGTCAATCGTCACGTTCACACCTTTTCAAAAATTCTGCGACCCCCCTCATCACCATCAGTCCTAGAAGGCTTTCCCAATACGATCCCCTTTCCCCTTCTCTAGATACCACCCCTCACCATCATGGCTGATTCTATAGGATTTGATTCTAAATTGGTATCATGAAGCGGCATATCCACCAATTTTACCTAATTCTTACTACTCTCATGAAACTTTCACCGAATTCATCAAAAAACCCGTCCAAACACCACCTCCTTCAACGACCTCCGTCACCTCCGTTCCCACTATGATAACCTTGTTTGACCCCAAAATGCAACCCCCTCGTTCGAACCGTGTGAACGGACGATTGACCCTGCCTGCTATCCGGGAGGAAAGCTTATAATTTGTGAACATCGAGAATTTCTGGGACGACATGAAAGTTTGCGAAGTAGAAGTGGGATTTCAAAGGAAGAGGGCCGTGTAGTACTTCAAAAGGCTGTAGATTACATGCGGATATGGTAGTGGTTGATAGGAATCCGTATACTGCAGAAGGAAGTGCAAAGGTGGATCCAGCAAGGTTTTATTGCATAACTAAGGCCCATAAATTTTGTTAACAAGGTGGGCGGTGGTGTCAGTGCCTCATTTTCTTTGTTTCGCAGACCGTTGTAAAATTGCGGCGCTCAGAAGTGAGTCTTATAATAGGGTAAGGTCTTGGGAGTTAGTATTTCTCCGTTTTCAATTGGCGCTTTGCATCTCGAATGCAGTTCTGATTTATGCCGGGATCTAATTAGGGTTCGTGGCAATCGCTCCTTTTCGTCAGTAAAATCAACATGTTGCAAGATAACGACATTGCACATAAATAGGTTCTTTAACCAACTATAGAAAAGACAATCGTAGACACATCACAATGAAAAAACGAAATATTCAAATGCGTCAGTTAGCCGACCTGAAAGAGGCCTTTTTGTAAGTGAACAGCGGTTTAATAGATGTCAGGAGCGTTGAAGAGTATTAGCTCTTTCTCTGTATTAGAATAGAGAGTCGAATTGAATAGAGTCGCAATAGTTCTCTTATTATTTCCTCGGCGAGAAGGCTGGCATCTGACTAGAGTAGACAGGGGCAATACTGGTTCAGCCTTGAGCGGGTTGCGGTCCGGTGGTTATCACTTTGCTGCTCGGTTCATTCTCTCCTCGCCACGCTTTCAACTTCAGGAAAGTCTCAATGGCAAAAATGATTGTCAGCGCTACGCAGATGATCTGAAATGGTAGGGTTTGCTGTGATGGACCATTCCTTGTTGAAGAGCTGACTTACCGCAGTCATGATAGCTGCTCCTCTTCCGTCGGTGCCCCAGCTCGCCGACAAGTGGACCATCAGCCAAATAGAGATGAAATAGAAGAGCGTGTTGATGCCGTAGAAAATCAGCTCCTTTAAAATAACGTTCAAATTTTGAATAGATTTATTCCTTTTTTTCGCCCGCTTACTTACTTACCAAGACAATCAGCCCTTCTCGTGTTGGCTCCTCACGGATGCTAAGGTGTGGGAAGCAGACGTAACCGGCTAGTAAAGCAGCGACGACGATCATCGTTTCGAAGGTGATATGTTCTGTCCATGCAGCAGTGGTAGACCTTCTGTCGGCACATATAGCCAGTACGAAGGCGACGAAGGCAAGAATCTGGAAAAAGCATCTGTTTGCTCTCTTATCCGACTTATAACGTTTTTGGATAGCATTCAATTGTTTCCGTCGAGCCGCATTACGCTTTGCTTTGTTTTCCCGCTTGTGACAAATCTGCTTGCCTGTGCGGTAAACACTGACTGCTTAGCAAATGTTACGTGATCAATGGCGTCGTCTGTACTGGCCCTTTTCGCATGACCGGTATCGATCAACGGAATGTCTCGAAGAAGAAAGAAACCTACTATTTCGGCGATTTTGAGGACACCAGGAATTGTAGCCAAAAAACCGGTGTTCAGCTGGCCTTGTCGATTGTCAGGAATGATTTGGATCTTGCTTGCCATATGGAATTGAAGCTTTTTCTTCTCTTTTTGTACTGGGCTAAAATCACATAGTTCAAATCGATGCTCATGATGATTGCGACAAAGCAGCACGCACCCTTATTCGGAGAATTGTACGGTATTCTGTGGAACTGACCTGGCTTGTGCTGGTTTCGGGAAGTCGTCAGAGTGCTGGATTTCCTTTGCAGGCCCTAGGTCCACTGTCGTATGCGTGGCGTCGTCTTCTGAGCGCAGCATCTGAACATCCATTAATCGATATGATTAAAAGGCTGGAAGTGTGAAATGGAACAGCGAACTGTGTATGCATTTTAACGTTTCCAATAACAACACTGTGACACAGTAAGATGTGAGATTCAATCTGTTTCGGACAAGTTTGTCTATACATGACCCACAAACTACGACGTTCTAGATGCAAATAGCTGGTGGCGGCGCCAAGTGGAAAGGTTGTGTTCCGTTGCACTGCCGTCACCTACTCGTTTCATGGGGTGTGGCTGTCAACAGGAGACACGCAAGTGTGAAGGCAGAGACGTTGAATGCATGACAGGAACATATATACTCCGAATAGTTATCAATCAAAGATGTTGCACTTGAATTGGTGTCGTAATGATGGGATTTGCAGGGGATAAAGTGAGGTTAATTCAGGATAAAAATGCATGCGGCTTTGGTCGAAGTAAGGCAATCGATCAACAACCAGGCCTCATCCCATAACAGTAGTGCACGTTTTTGATGTAAAAAGGCTGTAATGCAAAAGATGTGGAAGGATGTAGGAACGGCCGAACAGTGATGGGGGAGGTTTGGTAGAGGTTTGCTGATCGGATAGTAGGACACGTAGATAAATTTGGTCGCAAATAAAAAGTGCAATTGCTGCAAATATTGAGTTCGGAGATTTTGGGTCATCCAGGAAAGAGACTGATCAATTCACCTAGCTGAATAGCAATATTAGGGTAAGCTGTTGTACAACTGCTAATAGCAATAACAGTAGTTCAAGGATAAATGAAGAAATTCAAAGGAGGCCATTCCGGTAGAAGTGTTTGAGGAAATGCTGAATGAGGAGGATTAGCAGAATATGAAGACGGTCCACTGGAGATGAATTGGTGCCAGTGAGGCCGTCAGACGGATAGAGAGAATGCCCTTGAACCCGCGACGGCGTCAGCGCGAACGATCTATTGCCGCGCCATGGCGCTGAGAGGCGTTTACTTTCTATCTCTCGAGTAAACGCCTTGGTACATGTTCATGGAATCAATAGCGAGAACTCCGGTTGTTTTTCGTTACTGCTAAGAAAAGTGAGTGCTTTAAACGCTTGAGTAACAACAGTGCGGCTCTGTGCATGCACGCAGAGGTGATCGAACACGCTTGACGATTTAATGGCTGGACCAGCGGAATTTGGCCGAGCGCCGTACGCCTAACATATCCGGTTAGGCATTGTGTGTGTGAGCTAGTGGTATGACATGACTGAAACTCATAGAAGTGGAAACATAGGTGCAGGTGAGGCGAGAACTGGTTGGAGCGCCGCGATTTCACGTTGCTGTGTAGGAGGAGCCGGTGGTTGTTTCGTCCATCTTAATTGACGCTGGGATGGTCTTTATTGCTGTAGCAAGTGGAGCTGGACGAGCTGCTACCTAGCCGTATTCTTGAGTATAACTAAGCCGAGGGTAGTTCTTCATGTACTGGGCCAGCTGTCATCATAGATGCCAAAAATCTTCGGACATTGGTTTTTTTCTGGAATGTTGTACATTACTCGGCATGAGCAGTTGGCTGTCATGTCTAGGCGGACTGAAATGCACATAGTACACTTTCCTTTTTATTCTTCGAATTCTCGATGAATGGCACTTGCAGTCTTAGTAAAAGATCAATTTTAGATTTTGGCGTAATCGATACCCAATCATGAACAATATCTTACCAACTGCGTCTCAGTAGTGCCGTCATCTTTTTGTACAATCACGGTTTCCGCTCCTCGATTTGTCATATTGCGAAGCTGCTTAACTACCGGAAAGATGCGGCCTGAATATAATCGAAGTAATCATTTGCAAAGAAGTTAATCGAAGAAGGAAACCAGGTTTCTGGATCAATTCGGGCACATGCACTTTATCTTATCGAATTTAGTTCCTATTGGATTGTAACAAAACGAAAATCGATCGAAAGTTTGAGAATGGAGGCGATGAAAAAATGCTTTTTTATTAGCTCATTCGCGACTGCGCAGGAATTGCGCAATAGCAGCAGCGTCAGAGATTTTTCTTCAATAAAATCCGAGTGAAGGGAGATTTCCTCTGCCCAGGCTGGCGTAGATGAGCGAGGGTATGAAGATTCTTTCCATGGAAGAAAACTTTCCAAATTCCATTTCAAGCCCTGCAGCCACAGTAATACCATTGTCCCGAGTGAGAGCTTTGTCAGCCACCGGTGGCTGACATTGTCACGAATGGGTTAAACATATATTCAGAAAAAGTAGGGATATTGTTTGTGAACTGCCCTCTTTTCAAATTCTAACGGTTTTTTCCACGGAATCATTTTCCGGGTCGTCTAAAGGTAAGCTGTGCGGGAGAGAATTGGCAGTGGGAATTTTCTCGCAATATAAAATATGTGAACTTTCTAAAAAGTAATGAAGCTACCAGGAATGTATTTCATCATCCCATGGAACTTTGAATTGAATTCAGGGTAACTCGAGAGGCTTGAATGCTGGTTACAAATACGAAAACAACACTGCTACGCCTTAGCCGAACTTGAGCTTTCCTAAGATGATTGTTAGCGATCAAATTGGCTGTCAATGCAGCTGCTTGTATCGCGAAGATGACATACACATGGTTAGAACCGTTATTTAGCCAATCTGGAAGCGTCCAACCTCGGATGCAAAATTTTGTCACCACTGGGGAACGAACTTGGGACCAATTTGATCGCAAACAACTTCCTTGGCAACATTCCAGGCTCTATCGATTCATCTAATTGTAAGTCTCAATTCAAAGTTCCATGGGAAGTTGAAACACTTTCCTGCTTAGTAGCGGAAGCGTGAGAGTTAGAGAAAGTTCATATATTTGGGATCGAAAACCAGGAAAGAAAACATAATAAGTAATTTTCCCTCCGAAATTTTATGAGACTACCTTGTAAATCTTCTCAGAACTCTACTACTAGTAAAGAAAACATAGTTCCGAAAAAATCAAAACGGACGGGTTATAGCGTAGCAAGTCAAACATGGACACAACATGAACAATTGTAACAGCCAGAATACTGTAGAATTTTACCCATATGCAGGGAGGAGAACATTTCTTGATCAAGACATAAAATTCATTCGAAAGATTTCAAAAGGATGGTTTTACCGAAACGAGTTTTTTCTCAAAGCAAAATTAGCGAATTATCCGGCTGCTGACAGAGAAGCTATGTGAATGCATGTCGCAAGCATCCGTAGAGAGGCTCGTGGTGATGCGAAGCGCCTTGGCAAACAAATGCAATGAGTGATCATTCGTTCTCAGGTATTGTTACAGCAACACACGGTGAATACCCGTGCCATCTTCAGAATTATTGGCGGTTGCCGTTGACCAATCAATGCCTTTTATGATTGCCTATGTGAAAAAGTTGGAAGGGGAAATTGTACACGTGGTCATTTGGGAAAATCAGAAAACCGATGTCCTAATAGGTTCCCAGAGGATGGAAAATCACTGGATGAGCGCGACTTAGACTGATTTTTTCCAGTAGGGTAGAGAGGGAAGCGAATTGCTTGGTATCGCTTTTTTTCTATTTATCTTGAATAATATATTTATTTGATTTGTCTTTTTGTTCTGATTATTTGTTTTATTGAGTTAATCAAGAAGGCCCTTTACAAGATCTTCTAATTTGGCAGTTTCGTAAAAAATATCCCGTTCCGTAAACGGAGTTGAAGCGATGGAATTACATCAGTGTATCGCGAGAAAAGTATAGGAATGTTGCCTACGTCTCATATCTCGCCCAGTGATCATTCGAAGTCCCAAAATCGTAGTCTGTAGCGGTAATGTTTCTATTCTTATGGGGTTCACAAAGGTAATCTAGAAACGAGCTCTACGCAAAAATAGTACGAAAGCTCCCGATCACAGAGAAAGCCATGGGAGGGTAAAATTTTCGTAAATTTTCGAATGGGACGCGATGTAGTTTGATGATGTTCACTGCAGATGTACACATCAAAATTGCAAATTTGATCTCGGAGCACGTTTGGAGCAGTATTGGACTACAAATGCTGCGTATAGGAAGAACAATCGTGAAAACCAGCGCGTGGAGCGCTCCCTCTGCGCGCGGTGGGTCACCGGTTCGCTTCCACTGGATGCAAATTTTTGCACACTGTTTTACATCCAGCGGATGCTCCTATCACTATTTCCGTATTCACTCAATTATATGAGTATAACTATTCAATTATCAAAATCATCGCTCACTCAATTTACAATGAGTATTCAACGACACTGCTTGGAGAAAGATAAGGCAAAGCGAATTAGAACCATTAGCGTCAAGTAGCTCGGGGTCGAGATTCTGATGTACTCCGTAGAAAGTAGCAACCGTAGGTCCAGTATCCCATTGCTTATGCCGAATGACAACATAGAGACGAGCTCCTCGTTATCCAACTGAAGAGAGAGGTGTTTCTCATTCACTGTGGACATTGACAACTCTAAGCTCAGCCGATGCATGGACATTCGGACGGGGGACAGTGTAAATTCACGAAGTTTTTTTTCTCATTATGAGAAGGCAGTGATTGCGACGCACTCCCAAAATAGTTCTTCTGGATCGATGGAAATGTGCGGTTTGTGATCACATTAAGTTGGTGTGATGTGTAACCTGGACACAGAGAGAAGCCTCCATGGATCTTCTTCAGCCAGACCAAATTGCTTCAGTTTGCGCGAGAGCATCAATATGCACGGGGCGTCGTGGCCAGAAGCAAAACCAACCAGATGGCCCCCAACCCACCCCGCCAACCCCCCCACCACCCACCCCAACGCCCCCCCCGCCCCCCACGAGGCCACCCCCCTGCCACCCTCCACCACACCCAGGCCGGAACCGTTGCTGACTTAACTTTTTCAAATTAGGACTCACAAATCTTCAGTTATCGCTAGGGGGAACTGTACGCCCTAAAGAGGTTGAATCGAGCCTTGAAAGGATGTACAGGCAAATGTGACATGATTATACTCGCTAGGCGGCTACAGAGCAGGATTCAATATTGTAAATCAGGTTCATGTAGGACTGTTTGCTTGAAGCTGGAATAGAAACTATTATTGGTGATTCATTCTGTGATTTTGACCTACTTGTAAACATTTGTCTATTAAATTATTACCATATTTGTAACCAGCCCATCAGAGTTCCTCGAGTTACCTACCTACCATCTAACAAATCGCCTTTAATGTTCACAATGTCGAACTCGCAAACGCGCTACTGGCAGTGGCACGTACAATGTATGCGTAACTTCCCCCACGATATTCACGACCTTGTGCGCGCGTACCTTATCTCACAAGCACGTAAATTAACAAAAAAACAAACAAACGCAGCGCTTGCGAATCGGTGTACCAATGCCATTTCACTAGCAGTATCTAGATATTTATGTGACTTATCATGAGGTATTCTGAATTACAAATTCTATTCGTAGAAGGAATTTTCATTAGGGGGAAATTAATACGTTAGAGAAGGACCCATACTTTTCATTGCTATTGAACGATCGCCCTTAAAAGTTGTGCGGGTTTCAGTTATTTCAGGTTATTTCGATCTGTTTTGAGCCACCTCCCAGCGTTGCCTTTGCTACCACTTGGGGACCTCCCAGTATCGGGCTTCTCGTACCCCTCATTGTCGATGATCTGGTTCGGATCGAAGTCTCAAATCGCAATTTTGCGGAGCGCTCTACGAAGGTTGTTACTGTATATTAGCAGCGAAGATAATGCAGAAACCATCCCATGTGGGCGCACCCCCAGTGCGGTAAAGCAACACTGGCCAGACCAGCCTAGGCCCTACCGACAACACCCCACAACGGCCTCGACCAACACTCCCCGCCGCCGCACCTGACCAGCCTGTGACCAAAATGCCAATCTCGCCTAACCTGCCCCAGACGCAGCTCCTGTCCAAACAGCCGAGTACCAACTGTCAGACTGCTCACCCCCCCCCCCCCCCTGACCAATCAACAGTATCACACAACCACCATCTCTCTCATCTTAGCTTCCAAGCAACTACCAGTTCATAACGGCCCGACAATTGTCCAGGCCACTCTAGCCTACCCAAATACACGCTTCTCTTCCGAGTTAGACTACATCAACATACTAAGTTACCACTCTTTTTCAACGGCCCTGTATTTGGCACTGAAACGTTGAGTGTCACGCAACGAGAATATGAACCAGCGTCCGTCCGCAGGAACTGATTGAACAATGAGACGCGCAACAGCCCTGCCCCTCTGTAGCTGCTCTTGCCCATACGCCATGCCTTCTTCGGACTGATGTTCTGGCTGGTGTTGAATCATGCTCCGTCAAGCGTTTCGTCCGTGAATTCTACGACCTGGGGAAATTACTGGACGGCCCCCCCTAGTACAGGAGCGAATGGCTCAGCAGCTGGAACGCGCCGCCCGAAATACCGATGCTGTACACGGCTGCATCTTGACTAACAATTTAGTGCGCTGTTATGACGATGTATGTAGTAATGAAGGGCGGTGTTTGTATGGACTAATGGTAAGATGAGCACTTGCCGCATAAACTGTCGAAGTAGTACGGTTCCAATTGAGCTGGCAGTTGGGACATGCAGAGGCGCACCTACAGTGGGGGTGACCGTTGGGGGAAGCGACATGTTGAGAGCGAGATGTCAATGAGAGTGTGTGTGTAATAATTGTTGCCGTTTTTCATTTGCTAAAGGGTGGAAGATTATCTTCATCAAAAGAGCGAATATGGAATGTGCGTTCATAAGCCGCCAACCACGCAAGTTGTGCAATACAATGTGCTATGGAAAGAGCCTCAAAAATGCCTCGAAAAATGGGAACTTATTGAACGCTTTGCTCGTCTGTGCGCATGTATGTCACAGAATCTGGGTTTTTCGTAAGATTCTTCGTCTTTGGTGTGGCGACTCCCATTTACTAATGCTATTATTCTACTTGATTCATTCTTGTTTTCATTTACTTTCCTTTTTTCATTCACTCCTCAAAATCGTGTAGGGCGCCTTTTTCCCAGGCATTCACCCAAAATTTCAGGAAATCGCTGAACAAACAGGTGATCATGATGCGGTGCGACGTCTACAGCAGGAACTTGAAGAGCTGGATTCTAGAGCTGAACGAGCGGTTCGTTGATTCGTTTTTCAAAATATTTTCTGTTTTCGGAACTTATTTTCTGCAGTTTTACTCGTTCTATGGAAAACCTCTGTCTTTAAAGATCACCCGCATTTTTCGCCTTAGCATCGATCACATCGATTGAGCATTTTTTCGCAATTTAAAAAATTGCTTGGCATGACAAGATGGGAATCACAACAAGACAGTGTTGATCGCCATTTGATTGATAGGTTACTTTGCCTTGTATTTTGTCAACAACAGACGGCATTGGCTCCGGAACAAGAGATTTTCGGCATTGTTTCAAGTTCTGCTGAGCGATTCTGGCGTTTCCTGCGTTTATGAGCAGTTGACATTGACTGCCCTGTGCACTACTAGCAAGACTTGCTCAAAGATCTTGCTGTTGCGGTTGTGATCCAAGTACCGCTTTCTCGTGGACATTGAATGGGATGGCCTTTGTCATCCGTGGTCACAATTTTTCCACTAGATCGTTTTCCCCCATAAGGCTCGAGATGTCGGCGATTTCTAATGAATGACTGTGCGAAGTGCAATTAGATGTTGTCGATCGCTGGATGACATTACGATTCTCTTTTCACAAGTGTTCCAAATGCAAACTCAGAAAGTTAGAAAAAAGATGCCGACTCAGGATGTCTCTAAGAACACGTCAACGCGAGCTAATTCAGTTAACGACACTGACGTTTATGAGGTGGCCATTTCAGGAGAAAAAACGATGCGCAGACATATCCGCGATCAACTGGATAAATCAACGCAATCGCAACAAGATGAAGGAACATTTTCTCGGCGATCGTGTCGAGATCGATATGGGGCACCAGGACGATCCGTTCACACGGAAAAAGGGACTTATGAAGGTTAGTGCGATACTTCAAGAAGTTTGACTGACTGTCATCGTCGATGACGAGTTCTACTTTTTTCTCTCATTCTCTAGAAATTGACAGTTCAATACTCGATAGAGGAAAAAAGCGTTTTAAAGAGACTTAACATTTACTTTCTAAGTTGAGGAAAATTTCGCCGCTAGTCACAGTTTCAAAAAAGTGAATCTTCCACTTCCAAGAAAAAGGAGAGGCGATGTTTTGGTGGGCACTAGTATGTGCAAAGATTGATTTTTGCTCATATTCACCCATGCTTTTAAAAATCGTGGAGCTGAGCAAAGCTGTGGGCCGCACTAAGTTGTCAACTAACATTACACTGTGGATGAATAGGTGATTTTCAAAGCGTGAAACACCATGAGCTAAAAGTGAAACAATAGGTAGAAAAATGGGGTAGATTTATCGGCAGTGCTCATTCTTTTTGGGAAGCGCCACATCTTACAATATTTGACCAAAACCTTGTAGTGAAATCGCTTGTGTTGCTCTCTGACTAAGCTAAGCAGTGACGTACGAACTTCAGTCGATATTCATCTCAGCGTTTTTGCCCTCTCAGACAGGCTGAAGCGAAATCGCTGCACCACGTTTAGATCTATACACTATCGCAGCCAAAGGGATCGTGAAATAGCGAGCAAAAAATCCACACAACTTGCTCTTAGACAGTCTTCTATATGACTTTCACTTGAAAGACGTATCGATTCTTAACGTTAACAAATTTACGCTGAGTCTTTTTGATGTATTTTCAAGTGATTTTAATCAAGCTTTCTGAAATATTTCTTGTGCGCCCTAGGGTTCCGAGTTGGTAGGATTTCTAAATGCAAATATTGTTTTACAGGTGGTTTCCGGTACCAAAGGAGCTGCGCAACTACTTGAGGCAGGCACTTCGAGTGAGTTAGACTTCTTTCGAATCTCAGTTTCAAAATTGCCTTAAGGTCAGAATCATCTATTGCGTTGTTTTGTTGTTGTTTTGTTCGTGCGATTAGGATTGTTGGTGGGGAAGCAAGACGTTCTAAAAATTCTGTAATTTCCCTTATGCGCCCACTCGGCCCTGTATACGCGAGAGACCTAGCGCCGTAGTGAGGGAAAAACGTGAGGAGAGTGACTTGTACGCGAGAGGGCGGCGCAAACGCCACGCATGCGATTGATGGAACGGCAACGCTGGCAGCATACAAGGCAAGGCCTTAGCACCATTGTCGCGCACTTTTAGAGTTGTGGCAATGTCGCGGTATCTGGGATTGGGACTCTTCTCTTCTTAAGAAGAAATCGACCCTTGGCAACAAATCCGGTCCCGCGGTTTTAATATGGCATAGTCAGATGGTGGAGGAGTGGTCGGGTTCCACTCCTATGGCAACTGAACAACTTTTTCATTGCTAATAACACACGATCTCTTTATTAATCTATCAGCATCGCTCATTTATTGATGTGAAGTCTGAAGTAGGTCCCATCTGGAATGTCGTCGATGGCGACACGGGTCCTAGAAAAGTTATCTTCGGTCCAAAAATCTGAATCTGCGGCTCTAATGTGTTCAAACCTCTATCTTTTACGGAATCCGATATTTTCTCAAAATTTGGAAAACAAGCTGCCCTCTTTGGAGGTGAAAGACGAATTGGCGGGGTCAAATAATCTATAGGATGCCCGCTTGCACTAGCGTTCGATATCACAAATTGTATCACTAATTGAAAAAATATTAGAATAGAGGAACTTTCATCTACTTCATGTATGCTATTCAAAACATTTATACGAAGTATGATACGGAAAGAATTTCAGCACCACCAACAACTTCAGCGGCACCACCTGAAGCAAAATCGTCCCCGTTCATGACACCGAGTGGTCGACCACCGCAGATGTCGAAAAGCGCCAGCAATTTATTCGATCTACATAGTAGCATTAAAAAAATCGACCTTGATATAGATTTAGGTAAGAGATGTCAAATGTACTCATAAGGCTACACTCGGATCGAGTTCTCATTTTTTCTAGGAAAATTAGCTCGGCCAGCACCGAGCCGAGTTGAGGATTCTTTACATCTGCCGTCTCCGCGCCCAACTGCACCCTCACCAGCGTCTGGAACCAGGTGGGGCATATTATCGCTTATTGAAGATATTAAAGCGGGAAAGAATGCAATTATAAAGTTCAACAGAATCAGAGGAGCGAAAGAAAACCGTGCTGAATGAAAATATGAAAAATATTTTGCGATATTATTGTGTTTTAAGGGCATTTGATTGGAAGACGGTAAACAGTCTGAAGACTAATTTCGAACTGGTATTATGGTTGTAGGGTGGTAGGAAGGTGAACAGACGAGATCGGCGGCGCCGTATGAACAATTAATTTGTGGTGCACGAAGAGAACTCTGATCGCACATGTTCAGAAATATTAGTTTAACCTTGACGGAACAATACTATAAGCGTTACGAAAATGGGATTTTCGTGACCTGGTTTAATTGTCACTTTGGGATAAGAGGTTGAAACTAGGGCTTGGCCATTGTGCTTCGGCAGAATTTCCTTTAACGTGTTTCCCATTTCTTGACGGTACTGGTCACAAAATTGGCCAACAAAGGAGGTCTTTCACGACATGGAGCGCTTTTCGAAATGGTTTTCTGCATGTTGTAGGGCTCATGCGAGGAACACAGAACCATGATCCATTTTTCCTGAACGCCTCCAGGAATGTCAAAACAGTGGAAGAAATGGTCCAGAGTTCGATCCCCGGTGATGACTAATTTTTGCAATATTTGGCGCCCCCAAATGCCGCCATCGTCGAGAATAGATGTCATTGTCGTGTTCTGCGGCAATTTGGAGGCGCCAACATAAATTGCAAAAATTTGTCATCACGGAGGATCGAACTATGGACCATTTCCTTCTCTGCTGTTTCTGGGGCGTTAGGAAGAATGGACCACGGTTCCTTCACATGACTCCTCTACAAAATACAGAAAACCATTGCGAGAAAGCGCTCCATGTCTTGAAAGACCCATGTTAAAGCAAAGAAAAGTACTAGCTATACTGTAGCACGTCTCTTCGATAAGTACCTTCGAAACAGGGTAATTCAAGAAAATATTCTAATTTCTGATGAGGTGGATAAAAGATATTTCTGAAAATGAAAGCACTCTTTTAAGTACAGCAAGATCATAGCGACAGGCATTATGTCAGCAACTTAGAACGTGAATTGGCAAGAGCGTTTCAATAGAAGGGATGGCTGAACTGAATGCAGTTTTATTGAATGCATCAGTTCAGTTACTATGACCAAGAAAACACAAGGTTTTGGTTGTGGCTTCGTATGAGAGCATGATTAAGTAGAGCTTCATGCATAGCCAAGGCTAACAACAGGTAACTTGAGCGATCACTTAAGAAACCCCTTTTTCTAAAGGTTAGATCGATGTGTAGTCTTCCAAAACTAACAAAAAGGGCAAAAAACCCGCAAAAACTATTCGGTTTTACTAACAATCAGGATTGCAGAGAATAGGCTCAGTGTTATTGCCTGCAGACGCCAGGTTCTAGTTTTTCGGCCGTTGTGGGTGAATCCTGGTGTGCCTTTTTTATGAGGGGTGAATCTTTTCTGTTCTTTCTTTTCTTCTTTCTTCGTTTCTGTGCGGTAGAAGCGATTCATTTAAGCAGGGTTTTGCTAAAGCATACTTCCATGTTCAGTCTCAGCTCTAAACAGGTTCCGTCCTGTGATGGACTTTTTGCAAAAATACTTCTGTCCCAGAACTTGCCCAGATGCACCATCTCGAGAGATAGATGTCAATGCCGTGTTTCTGCGCAGTAAGAGGGCAAAACATAAATTGCCAAAAAATTTCCATCATGAGTATCGAATATGGACCAGTCTTCCTGCGTTTGCGTTGGGCGTCGGGAAGAAAGAATGGACACGGCTCCTCACAGACTACATAATGCAGAAAACCATTTCGAAAATGCACTCCATGCCTCGAAAGGCCCCTCATGTAAGAGCTAAGAATGGTACTGGCCAAAGCTGTAGCACATCTCTTTGGTGAGTAGCTTCGAGACAGGGTAATTCAAGAAAATATTCTAATTTCTAATTGGGTAGATTAAAGATATTTCTGAAAATGAAAGCACTCTTTTAAGTACAGCAAGATCATAGCGACAGGCATTATGTCAGCAACTTAGAACGTGAATTGGCAAGAGCACCCGAATAGAAGGGATGCTGAACTGAATGCAGTTTTATTGATCATCAGTTCAGTTCTATGGCAAAGACAAAAACGAGGTTTGGGTTTGTGGCTCGAGAGAGAGCATGATAAGTGACTTCATGCAAGCAGGCAATAACTACGTGAACTGAGCGATCACTAATGAAACCCCTTTTCTAAGTGCTTAGATTCGATTGTGTAGCTTCAAAACTACAGGAAAAAGGGCAAAAAAAAACCCTCAAACTATTCGGTTTTACTACAATCAGGGATTGCAAAGAGAATAGGTCGATGTATTGCTGCAGGACGCAAGGTTAGTTTCGCCGTTGGGTGAATCCTGTGTACATTATTATAGGGAGTAATCTTCTGATCTTACTTTTCTCGTTTCTGTGTGTAGAGCGCTTCTAGTACAGGGTTTTGTAATGCATATCCAATGTTATATGTCTGGCTCTAAATGAATGTATATGTAGTATATAGTGTAGAGTATTGGAACTTAACAAAACGCCAATAATCAAATAATATGCGATCCGTGGGGAGATGTTTTCTACACCTGCGGAAAGTCATTGTTCAGTCATTTCTTGATGTGCTAAGGTGCCGTAAAAAAACAATGAAGGGATGATTCCAACCAAAGCGAGTCGCCTAAAACGGCAAATTCTGCACACATGTCAGCCACTGTCGATTCGAGATTCCTTAGCGGTTTTTCTATAATTTACATCACCAATCGCCATAGAATACTTCTTATTTTCAAATGGCACATATATACCGTTCAACACCAAATAGCAATATTAACACCTTGGAGCCCACGCAGCCCATATGTGGGCTGCAGTCCTCCGACCGCATAGGACCTTTCAGCTCGCATTTCGTAAACAATTATTAGGTTTTTCATTCATTTTCTTTTCCATTTTATCCGATAAGATTTCTTCTGCATATACAGTGGGTTCCTTTTTTAGATTTGGTAGATATGATACCTAAAAATTTCACCGAAGGCCCGCGCCGCGTACGAAAACACGCGCGTTCCAAGAAATGTTAAAGTATTTAAAAGTGAGGCATAACGCTATGAGACGATAATTCATCGTATACGAAATAACGAAATCATGATTGAAGCATAACTTAGGAGTAAATCTATTTCATTCGTCAATTCGTTAGGCTTAGACCTTACGCCTTTCTATCCTCCATGCTTGCATTGCCGTTCACTTCCTCTTTCCCAGTGGAGCGAAACATTCGTAAGGTCGACGAGTATGATTGGAAGCCGCACGTAAAATTTTACAGCATAATAAAGGTAAAGCAGGGTCGCGTATATCAACTAAGAAAACTCCCTTTGTTGAGCTAGTAGAACTCTTATCACGCGGGTAATGTAATTTCCGGTGATTATTTACGCTGCACAACGTAATCATTTCATGACAGCATGCGCAGTCACACCCAACCGTGCTTTCTCGTTTTCCTCTTTCGCAGTGTTGTGTCTCTCCGTCGCACCACAGTCGACTTCACAAGGGAATTTCAGTGTTTTTATGATGCATTTTGCTTTTTTTCCTTACTATCGTTCCTCTTCACAGTTCTAGTCTGATTTTCGAGCAGAATAACAAGCCATTCGATCGTAATCCTGCTTTTTTAAGGATCGTACCCCTTTCGATTCCTCCGTGAGAGTAGAGCGTTATCCCATGCTTTTTAAAAGGTCGCTCCTCTTTCATTTCTCCATGAGTGTTAGAGCATCATCCCTGCGACTGCCTGTCACTCCCCTCAATTTATTAGCTGGCTCTGATTCGCACTCGTAGCTCTCCGTGAGTCTGAATGAAAGTCATATCAAATCGTATCATATTACTATCATATAAAGGCGCATTTTGAAGGGATTGGTCAGTGCCGAACAGTTTTACTTTTCTATAACACTTAACATTTATTGTTATGGAATCTTATTGATAGAGAATCTTCAGGCCTCTTTCGTTGGAGGACTATCGTCGTCGCAAGGCGGCAGCGGCTCATGCGCAGTGAACCCATCGCTTCATCTGGATATGTTGACGTCCTGACCTGGTAATTAGACTATGTGTATAGTTTGTGTGCGAATGGTATACTTGTCTGAGCAGTGCTAAACAGCTTTTCAATAAGTGGCTGTAATTGGTGTTTGTATTCGTATCAGCGTGTCGATAATATTGTATGGCAGTAATAAATAATAGTGATAAGCACAGATCCAAATGAGTGAACAGTGTGTGCTTGGGCAACTGTCAAAAATCATATCTGAGCTAGGGTTCTGTATTGGTTTTTGCAGTCAACCCGTTGATGTCCTTTCATTGTTCGTTTTTCTTCGAGTAGATTTGTAATAATTCGTCGATCTATGATGGTGTCTACCTATTCTCGCTCTATGTTTGTCGTATTTCTTCTATATTTACCAAAGATTGTTTCGAGTAAACATGAGGCAGTCGATTTACGATTTATTCAGCAATTAAATTATCAGTTAAATAAGCACGGTTTGGGTGGTCACCGTGTGCACCCGTGTTCACGAGACTGATGATCGTTGTGGAACAGAAGGTTCTGCTAGTCGATTAAAGTTCTTTTCGAGGTTGTGACCGTAACCAGGACTCTCTGCTGAGTAAGCATTGGCAAGCAACAGGTAGCTGAAACTAGATGAATAAGTGAGGGAGGCAATCCAGTTATTGTCTGAGAAAGGAGAGAGAGGGTAAATGGAATTCCACCGTATGATTGGATAAGTGAAAAATGAACTTGCTAAGGTCCATTCGACATGGCGTGACTAGGAAGAATAAGCTCCGATATGGGGAGTTTGGTGCGCAATCGCAAGAATGGTGCCGCTCTCGCTACTGGGATTGCGTGGCATGGGCTTTGGTGGCGCATATCTCAGAGACAACCTCCGTTTAACGCGTTGACGACATCGCGCGTTTTGTGCTTTTGCACCCAGTGGGAAGCGCAAGAAAAAGAGAAGACTTGGGTGGGACGCGTTACCGCGTCACAATGTCCCACGAGGTGCGCAAAGTGGGACGCGTTTGTCGTCAGCGTGTTAAAAATCCTAGCGGTAAACCCTTGTAAAAAGCTATGTATACCCTTCCGCAGAACTACACTTTACTGATTCATGTGTGTTTGTTGAAGCAAAAGTATTCGTATTACGTAACACTCCTTGACGAATGAAAGGGGAAGTGAATGCGTTACGGGAAGCGTGTTGACAAACGATATAACAACAGAACAGACCAAGAGAAGTACTTGCTTATCCCAACAAACCCAAATCTGCCTACAGTGAGCTTGAGCGAGGGCGACACCTGAGGTTATTACAGCAACTATGGGCGAGGAATGGCACCAGCTAACCCGATTTCAAAATTTGGGGCCACGGAATTGAAAATTTGTCCGTTGGGATAACTTCATCCAGCACAACCTTACGAGATTCTTTTGAATCGCAACTTGAAGGAGTTCACTTGGCTGATAGCAGACAAGGGTATCGCTTCAAAAAATGCAGGCCGTAAATACTGGTTGGATATACCAGGTTGACAAAAAAGAAACCACTGCAACTACTGAAAAATCCGCAGAGTTATGGTGCATCCCCTCTTCTGGGGCAGTGAGAGTGTCTGTAGAGGCAGACAAACTGAATGACATATGGCCACTGAAGCGAGAGCATGGCAGAAAGAGACCAAGAGAGCAGAGCGAGAGTGAAACTGCACATATGGCAAGAGTGGACATGCGTAGTTGATTGTAGTGTTCATGACGATACAAAGTCGTTGCACCGTTCCTCTGGAAGTCGCGAAGGTAGTCCTGTCTTCAATGGACCTAGTAACCTTATCTGCAGCAGGGATTGTAGAATGATTCAATCACAGAAAAATTTGCCTTAAAGCATCAGTCCCGCACGCAGGGTTTACAGCCTCTGACGGCTAAAAGGTGCCTAGCCCTAGTGAAGAATCATATAATGTGAACAAAAAACTCACCTTAGAAAACCGCTAGAAAGGGAGCTGAACAGCTTCGAAGTGGGCGTGGTTATCAATCGCTGAGGGGATTGCAGCCGATTGTTAACCACGCCCACTTCGAAGCTGTTCAGCTCCCTTTCTAGCGGCTTTCCAAGGTGAGTTTTTTGTTCAGTCACACTTTTATGTTCTTGACTAGGGCTAGCGCATCGTTCCACACTATTAGTGTCGAAGGTAGAAACCCTTGCTGGGACTGTTGCTTTAACTGCGCTTGCCGCGCCGTAATTGGTTTAGCTAATTGAATATAGTTTCTCGTGAAGCAAAGCATTCTTCAATGTGGAAAAAAAGTTTTCTCGATGGACTTAAAGCCGGGGATAACGAATTATCGATATGGGTTGGGTTCACATAGACCAAGAAAGCGCTGAATAATGCAAAGGCGGCGAAAAAGTCAAGGAAGTCTGTAAGGAAGGCGTCAAATGGTACCCCATCCTTTGTGCGATGACCTCCGAGCTAGAAACCAATCAAGAGGCCGTTTGCACATGTTAACGATAGTCCAATAATCATAAATTAAAGACGCCAATGCTTCGATTGACTAATCATTCCAGTAAGGAAGTTGAAGTGGAGATATCTCAACCAATGATACGCGTTGGCAGGAAAGGCGGATGTGGACCAGGGTCAAGCGTGCGTTGAGGAATCCTCGACATGTCACAGAGGGGGGGGGTCGTATTGGCCCGCTGGGGAGAGATCGGGCCCGATTGATACAGTAGGATCATCGTCGGAGGACAAACATTAAGGATCGAATCGATACCAGGCCAGAGTATTTCCAATAACAATTGATTCCGTCCACACAAAATCTTCGTGATTTAGAGGTGTCCGCTTAGCAATTCTTAGTGACTTTAGTGTTTCATCACCACACAAGTCAAAGGATCCGAAATTCGCACGTTTTCTAGGGATATTTTATCTTTCAAGTAGGTCCTCAAATCCAACGAGATGTGAAGCACACGGCGCATCCCAGAGTGGGCCCAGTTGGTTGCGCGCGCTTCAGCTACGGCTATCTTGATAACGAATCTTAATTCAGGAAGAATCAAGAGGGTTCTGAAAGAGTTCATGTTAAATTACAGAGAGGAGTACACTATTCAACAAGAAACGCAGCCTTCAGCGTCAAATTCACAAGCATGTAACCTTTAAAGTTGAGACCCGCTAAACAATTTTACACTTTTTGCAGAGAGAAAAGCACGAGGATTTTGAATCTGCTCCTACTTCAGTATGTAATCGCTCCTGCAAGGAGCTATAGTCGTTGGGATAGTGCTAATGTAGCGAAAAAGTACCTTTCGGCGGTACTCGGGCAAAAATCCTCAACGTGGCCATTTTTTAAATAGTGAACGTATTTAGCAGTTTTAGTTGCCTCTAGAAAGAGCAAATCTTCTAGTTTATGATGACGTATTAACTTTCCAGATTGCATGAGTTTGAACGGAGTTATGGCTTTGGAAAGCGTAAAAACTCGCACTCATCACGAATTTTCCTCGTTAATTTTGCAAAAATCCTCAACGTGGCCATTTTTTGAGTACTGGACGTATGAAGCTGCTTTAGCGACCGTTTGATAGAGAAAATCTTCTAGTTTTGTATGACGTATCAACTTTTTGAATTTGACGGAAATGAGAGCAAGTTATTGTAGAACTTACCGGAACGTGTAAACCAGTCGTGACTCCGTAACTCGCGAAGATTTTCCTCGTTATTTGATCTAAATTTGTTATTTCTTATAACTTCCTGTAATTTCAGTACTGATTAGAAAAAGCTCTTCACAAAACTCCCAAATCAGCTTTCAGATTGAAAATTCGTTAACTTTGAAGAAAGTTATAATCATTTGAATATTTGTTCAAATTTCAATAGTAAATAAGCTGCTCCACGGTCAACGCCAAAGTCCAGTCAACACACAGCTGGCGAAGGCTTTTACAAGGCTTCCTTTGAGCGAAAGGGGGACGTGTAAATTGAGAACCATAATCTGTGTAGTACTAGAATTTGGTAAGTCTTGTGGAGGAAATAAACAAAGAAGAGGTGTTGTCATAGTACGCCATTCTAGAGTGTTGTCATAGTACGCCATTTCTAGTGACTAGTTTGACGTTTTTTGCTCCGTTTCTCGTTTGCTCGTTTGACAGGACTCGTCATTAATGATCATTCTTTGACTTTTTCACTTTTATACTTTTTAAACGAGTTTTTTTTGTGGACGATGGGGTAGCAGGGCTTTTTTATGAGCAGTTTTGGTGGAGAATTAAACAACTTTTTCATAGTTCGGCTTTTAAAGAGGGTTGTTTCATGGACTTCGGCCTTCGGCAGAGGGAGGGGGGGTCGTATTTCCGAATTTTCCTCGACGCCTCGCTTGACCCTGGTGGTACGCGGAGTCTCGAGAAGGATAGGCAGCTCCCCTGTGTGTGAAGGGGCAGCGCGGCCCCGACTTGGCTTTTAGTCAAAAGAGCCGTTAATAAGCGCACCTTTATTCGAACATTCCTGAATACTGCTGTCAACGTAATGTGCATGTACTTTTCAATCTTGCATATCACAATTTATCATAATCCCCTCGCCTTTCAAAAGCGATGTTCCGGAACTAAAACTGAATGTGTTATGTGTGTTGCCTGACAGTGAGGCTATGAAGCGTCTTTCACTTGATGTAGAACGGAAGGAATTCTTACGACACGCGAAGATACAAGTCCGCCACTCTCAGCAGTAGGCGGCGAAGCGAAACCAGAGGCATAGAATTGGTGGGCTCAGGGATCAATGTACGGCGTTTGGCCCCCATGCTCGTCCGATTTAGAGCGCTCCAGAAATTCCGAAACCCTTGCTAATTTGTCGCAACACTATGTGCAAGTACACTGCGCCGCACTTGCAGTACCGACACTACATTTTTCCCAGGAAGGAATCCGACCCCAGTTCCGGTCCTTGAATTTAAAAAAAAAGCGCCACAAGTCCATGTCGCTCTATCACTCCTCCTAGAGATCAGCGAGTTTCTCATGAGAGTCGATGGATGGAAGCTACAATTCATGGAAATTGGTTCTATCGTCTTCTCGCGGTTCTATGAACGGACGTGATGTAGAGGCCACGCACACTCACTTCAGGCCGCAGCAAACTCATTTGCCATAGACGCAAAATCGTTGTTCATATCAGTGACTGTCTCAATGTCATATCTGGAACAGCGTGAACAACTTTCCCCTGTATTGTTCCATTTTTAGACCACCAGACGGAAGCGTCAGCGAGCGTTTCAGGTGCAAAGTTCTCAGTGTCGCCATTGCTAAACGGCCAAAACTTTCCTCGGATAATGTCGACCGCAAGGTGATGTTGCTTACAGAAATCCGAATTTCTTTTACTCCAGCAATGGTGACCAAGGTTCAACGTCTATGGCTTTCTTTTCATTCACCACGCTCTCATTAGCTGAAACCCTTTCGCAGGGTGGTATGATGCATGTTTGCCGCTATCGTAAACATCCGACGCTCTCCACTATCGGTGTGGTAAGAACGTCATCAGTCATTCTATGCAGTGTATTTCAAATGTGGTTTAAAGGACGAATTCACGATGAAAAAGCAACCCATTTCAAATTAACCTAGGGATGGTGAGTGGTACACGAAAGAAGGAAGAACCATGAGAAACGGCCCAGAACCCGAGAAATGGTACCCCTTCCTTGCCCGTTGATTCGAGCATTGATGCGACTCTCATCGCTGTGCCCTCTTCAACACTACGCTCTCTCAGCTATCTAATCACTCGCCACGTATTGAACTACGGCGAGTGATCAGATGATCGGTGGGCGGAGATCGCCGGACCCGCCAGCTTTGAGGCATGATAGGTCGCCGAGGTCAAATTTTTCCATGCGAATTGCGCGTCAGTTCGCACCCTCAGGAGGTCCGTGGGTCCCTCAACTAGGTCAGTTTCCCTTTCTTCGACCTTCATTCTAATCGTGAATTCCTCCTTTAAATGAACACTGACAGTTCCGAATTTTCTGAGCTGAAGAGTGTGAAATGATAAAGAAGGCACTCGAGGATGCTCTCGAAGAACGACGTCATAAGAAACCACTTTCACGTGTGCCAACAGATCTATTCGTACCATTCCAAGACACAGGTCCAATGGAAGTGGACGAAGGACTCGGCATGCGCAACAGAGGATGCGCTCTTGGTCAGTTTTTGTTTAGAATCGCAGTTCTTCTGCTAGGTGTGCTTTGGACGCAAATGTACAATATGAGAAATCACTTGCAGAGACGTTCGTGCCGCTTGGAAACTGTTCAGAACCCGGTGACGAGGTGTCCTGGGCGCACGAGCAACTTTGTTCAAGTAAGTTAGATGTATTTTTTTATTTTGTAATACAAATCAGAATGCTACATGAAATTGAAAAGAAATTAACACCTTGGAGCCCACGCAGCCCATATGTGGGCTGCAGCCCTCCGACCGCATAGGACCTTTCAGCTCGCATTTCGGAAACAATTATTAGGTTTTTCATTCATTTTCTTTTCCATTTTATCCGATAAGATTTCTTCTGCATTACACAGTGGGTTCTTCTTTTGAATTTGCTAGATAAGATCCCTAAAAATTTCACCGAAGTCCCGCGCGGCCGCGGAACGTAAAACACGCGCGGTCTCCAAAGTGTTAATAAAGACTCATGATTAGAACTGCGTGATTTTCCTAAGGACCAAACAAAGACGTAAGCATAATTTACAGGAATGAATAAATAGCATAATTTACAGGAATGAA